CCCTAGTCCCAGCTGTGCTTAATAACATTGTTTGTTCTAGGCTTCAGTAAGTTAGGGTAGCTGGGAGAGCCACCACAACAGGAGATGAGGCATTTTGGAAATGGGTGTATGCAATACTTTGAGTCAGAAAGAATCACTTAAAGATTGATTGGAAGCACTGAGGACATTCTGAAGGAGGGCAGGTTTCTGTCGCAAGTGGGAAAGGCATGTCGGGTGTCCTAATTATGAAGGAGTCTCATTCCGCCCCCCCCCCCAGCCAAAGGTCCTGTTGGCTCTTTTCTACAAGTCTGATGTGAAAGTAATGACTGAGATTGAAACCTAGAGGTTTCATTTCCACTTTTGGGCCTGGGAATCCATTTGGCAACAATTTCCTATGGCTCTTTCCCATCTGCCTTCTCCCTCAGCAAAAGCAAGAACCCAGCCCCAATCAGAGTTCTTATCTTTTTAACCTGACTCAGACTTCTTGTAATATCCTTGATAGGGGTAGACCTACTGGAATGAAGGAAGCTATACCTCAAAACATCATAGAAGGTCAATGTAGGGAACTTGTTACCTGAAGGCAGAGCAAGGCCCAGCAACCCCACAGGTGCCTCAGTTTCCTCCCCTAGGAAAACTTACTAAACAAAAGGGTCCCCTCCCCCAGTTCTTCTCTTTGGTGAGTCAGAGACCGGATAGGGGGTTGGGGACCTCCACAGTCCTTTGCATAAGTGTTAATGAGCCATTGAAATGGTAACTGGTCTGAGGGTGGCTCCCACCCCCACCATATCAATTGCATTCCATCCCCAAGCTTTTCTCCTTTGTCTCAGTCCCATTCCTCTGTCCCTGGACTCCAGTTTCTGGTTTAACCCTTTCACACCCAGAACCACTCCCGGGTTGTTTGCCTTTATAGGAAGGAAATGCTGAAATACTGTCCCCACCCCACCCCCAAGCCCTTTCCATCTAAAGTTTAGTATGGGAAATGGGGTGGAGTAGAAAAAGCCTAGGCCAGTCTGCTCTGGATTGCCTTATAGCACCATTCCATTCCTTTCCCATCGCACCTACCACTAAATATGGACTACAGATCTTATTTTCTACCCCACCGATCCAAATGGTCTAATCTCCAGATTTCCATCTTCTTAGCACCGCTCTCTCCACTAGCCTTAAGGTTTTGTGAGAAGAGCGCTGGGTCTGGAGTCTGGGGATCTCGGGTCCAGTTTTCTGAGTCACAGTGAATAGAACTCGAAGTCATAGTCAGGAAGATCAGAATTCAAATCCAACCTCAGACACTTAGAATTACTAGCTCTGTGACCCTGGGCAAATCACTTCAGATATGTTTGCCTGTAAAATGGGAATAATGACAGCATCTTCCTCGCTGGGTTGTTATGGAGATCAAATAAGATATATTTGTTTGAAGAGCTTAGCACAATGCTTGGCACTTAATAGGCACTGTACAAACCCTTATTCCTTCCCCCATCTTAGCTGGGTGACCTCCAGGCTTCAGTTTCCTCACCTGCTTGAAAGTGGGAGGGGAGTAACACTTGTATTCCCCAACTCATTGGGTTGTAGTGGGAATCCAATGAGGTAATATGTTCAGAGTGCTCCGTAACCATAAAGTGTTCTATAAATGTCAGCTGTTATTCACCTCTGGTCACCTCCTTTTCTGTCTGGGGGATTTGGGCTGGAGGGAGGTGGGCGTCTTACCAAAGAGAGAAGAAGGAAACTGAAATACAATTGGAGGCTAGCTTCACTTTCAACAAAAGACCATCTTGAAGGAAAATAAAGGATCTCCGGTCCTCATAGTGTAGTATATTGATTGCGGTCTATACTTTAGTACTTTAAAAGATGAGTGATTTTTTTTTTTAGCGTGGATGCTACCTGAAAGCCTTCCTACCTTGGCAGGACACACCAGTTTCTGCTCTGTTGATACAGTCTTTGAAAAATTTCAGCTTCACTTCTACAATAGGACTGTCAGTGAATAAGCTTTAGTGGAATATCACGTTTTAATTTGTAATATGTTCATCTATGTCCAAACCCTTTGCCCTGTTACGTTCTTTGATATCAGGGACCATTTTTTTCAGATCATAGAATTTAGAGAAATGAGCTATTTTAGGAGGTAGAGGAGCTGGGTTCAAATTCTGTTAGGCTGTTTGCTAATTCCATGACCTTGGACAAATCACTTAACCCTCCTGGGGCTTAGTTTCCTCAATCCATACGGACCAGCCTAGGGAGAAGAAAAAATCCTATAGGTGTCATGTCAAGGTTACTTATCAGAGGGCCAGGGAGGCACTGAGTTCCCAACTCAGAAAGTAACTCAATCCCATCCCAATTCTCTCTCTCCAGACAGATAGTTTTCTTCCCTGAAAGTTAGCTGGTAAAACATTTTGATATTACAGTTGAGCAGATGGGACAATTTAGGAAAGGAAGAAATAGAAGATTCACCCTGACCAGTTGCCATGGCAATTACTCACTCCTGCAAACACCCAACAAGAGAGAGAAAAAAGTTGGTTGAGTCCAATTACTTGCATGCAGCTTCCTAGCTGAAGGTTTCAGGACTTGAGTAAGGTGGGGGAAGGGGAGTGGGGTATTTACAAGGGTCACTAGGCTGTCTGCTGGAGCAACCAGGCAACGAAACCCTTTACCTGGAGTTGCACAAACCAGTGGGACAAGATTCCTGATTCTCCTTGGAGAAAATTGAAAATTCCATTGTCCACCTCTCCAAAGGTAATCATCACTATCTGGTCTCCAAGCTCCTCACTCAGCACAGTTAGATGGGGGCCCTGTTCATCCCAGAGGTAGTATCTATCTCAAAGAATTCACAGCCTCCTCTTATTACCTGTCATACTGTGTGACATCCTGTGATGCCTCAAGTCTACTTTGATACATTTTTGTTGGAATTGAACCCTCTATCCCGTTGGCCTATCAGTGAAGACAGAGCAGTAGATTTGTATCTATAATACAGCCTCAGAATGGTGTTATAGGTCACATTTTATCCTATCAGGCATAAAAGGAATTATAGAGATGATCTGACATCCTTTGTTTTATGTATGTGCCCTTTTCCAGCTCTGACATCTATCTATGACAGAGGCAATGTGGTGTAATGGAAAGAGTTCTGAACTCACAGACTCCAGGCAAGTCACTTTATTTCCCTGGCCTGTTTCCTTATCTATAAAATGAGGTTAAACTAGAGGATCTCAGGGCCCCTTAGAACTCCAGATTTAGGAGGCTATGTCCTTAGAGTTCCTTCTAGTTACAGGAGTCTATATTTCAAATTCTTTCTGAGCACTATATTCTAATTCCTATTTCATAGATGAGGAAATTTAAAAGAAATTCCACAACTTCTCAACCATCACACGGCTAGTTTATGGCAAAGTTGGGACTAGAACGCAGGTCTCCTGACTCTTAGTGAAGTGCTTTCTCTGGCAAACTGTCTTGACCCCTGAGTCTTCCCTCTTTTGTCTTCTTCAGCTTCACCACTCCCGGTGAGCTATTTTTTTTTTCTAGACCTTTCTTCCAACCCTTTTGTCACTTTTATCAGAAGGTCGTTTCAACCAGGTCACAGATGGCTGGCTCTTGGGAGGAGGCATCCCGGCATAATAGAGAAAGGTGAGGCTTTGAGCCAGAGAACCTGTCTAGAAATTCCATCTCTGCTACTCACTACCTGTGTTATCTTAGGGCAGGTCAATGACTCTCTGGGCATCAGACATTCTCAGAAAAGGAAGGGCCCTCAGAGATCATCTCAGCAAACCTATAGCAGAATAAAAATCTTTCTCCTCATCTATTAAATGAGGGGCTTCCCTTCCATTTCCAAATCCCATGAGGATTATGGATCTCTCTATGGAGATAGAGGTGCTCTCCAGAAGTCTTGGAGGAAAGGGGACCATGAGATACCAGGTATCAAGGAGGGATTTGAAAGATGGAGGAGGAAGGTGACACAGGGAGTGAGGACCCTGGGACAAAGAGTGAAGGGCTAAATTAGGGCCAAGGAAAAAAGAATTACCTACATACATAGCACTTTAAAGTTTGTGTATCTCTGTCTTTTGGCATTTAACAAATGTTTATTGATCAATCGTCAGTGTTCCACTTAAACATGAAACCCAGGCACATATATAATATTCCATTGTGTTATCTCTTTTGACCTTAACAAAACTCTATAAGGTATTATTACAGGTAAAATCATCATCATCACTTTATAGACAAATTAACTAAGGCTCAGAGATTAAGTGACTTATCTGTTTTCATAGAACCACTAAGTATTAGAGACAGGATTTGAACTCAGATCTTGATGTCTCTCTAAAGATTTGGTTGAGGATGGAGTTAACAGGAACAAGCTTCCCTTAGGCCTTTATGGGCTGTCCTAGAACTGCCACTGAGTCTCTGAGACATTCCTCCATCCTCCTCACACCTCAGTTTCCCTGTCTTATTGGGCTCCTTTCTCTAAGTCTGACACTTCCAATGGTCTTTGTAACAAAACAAGTTTACTTGAGGCCACCTGGGGAAAACAAGAGGAGCTTACTTCCCTTAGGGGACCAAGACACAGTCAAAAGGCAGAGCTGCTTCTTGGGACCCCTTGGTGGGTTGGGTCACACAGAGATGGGAGACCTTCCCCCATAACATCCCTCTCCCCACCACAGAACTGCCCCACCCCCTCATGGGCTTCTTCACAGGCTCCTTTGTCCTAGTCCCTTCCTTTCCCTATCTCTACAACAGACTCTTTGTCTCCCTGGGGAGGGAGGGGGTTGGGGTGCCGGAGACCCTGGATGAGTAGCTTCCCACAATTCAGCTCCTCAGTCCAACTAGCGGGGGGAGGGGAAGGCACACCTGAGCTGCAGGTGGGGGGGGCAGGCTTTCTAGGCCGTTACCCTGGTAATGCCACCTGAGCCTGGAGCCACACACCTGTTGCCTGGGGAACAGATCAGGCAGGGCCCCTCCCCCGGGAGATGCAAGAGCCCTTGAGCTGAGACTGAGACAGATCAGATTCCCTAGGTCCTGGGGGTGAAGGGAAACAGAAACTAGGAGGGGGGGGGAAGTGTCGGACAGAAGAGACAGATACTGGAAGTAGGGGAGCAGAGCTGCTGTGAGATGGAGGGACAATTACAAAAGGTAGGAAGGGGTCAGCAGAGAGAAGACGGATGGGGGGTGCAAGTTTCAGGAGTCCCTTGACAAGTTGTCAAGAGACTGAAATTAAGGGAAATTTAGGGGTCAGAGTTTCGATTTGGGATTCAAGTTGTTTGGCCTATTGCAATATGTTCCCCACTGCTCCAACTCAAGGGACCCCAGGCCAATATTATCATCCCTGCCCATTTGTTCTTCCATCTATCTTTTTCTACATAGCTTTGGTTGTTCTCTGCTTATTACTTCCCCTTTTCTTTCCTATACTGTCCCTGCACCCCACCCCTCCAGTCTCCCCCCATCTCTTCCACAAATGGTCCTAGAACCCACACAAGAGCCCTCTGGGCACCCCCAGCTTCACCCCGCCTCCCATAGCCTCCTCCTTGTTGCTGTGGTTCCCCCAATCACCAGCTCCCAGACTCCCACTATCACTCCTCCCCTAGCTCCAGTCCTATAACAACCCCTGCCCTTGCCCTTCCAGCTCCAGACACTTGAAGTGAAATCCTGGGGAGAAAGTCACCTAAAGGAGGAGCACCTTGGCTTGGGAGGAGACCCAAGGGGAGAGCTATCTGATCCCCAACCCTACTCCCAAACACACTACAGGGAACAAGTGTCAGAAACCTCCCCAGATTCATCCAGAACAGAAACATAGACTAAGCAGGGGAGCTGAGAGCAAGCTAAGAAACAAACATCGGACGTTGGACAGCTTCCTGGAAAACCAACGGGAGCAGTGGCAACTATAAAGATCTTATTATTTTGGATCTTTTTAGGGGGGTGACCAGGACCTTTCAGGTAGGGGAAAAGGTGGTTGGCCAGACACAGGGAAGGATCAACTGGGAAGGATCCAGTCCAAATGGAGATGCTTCTTATACTCTAGAAGAGAAAGAGCAACAAAAACTGAGGAGGGATCCAACCAAGATCCGTCATTGGGGAAGGAAGTAGCCCAGGCTCGGACAAGGGGATCATTGATGTAAGTGAGTCCTCTATTCCTCTCCCATTGGGTACTAAGAGCCTAGATTGCACTGGAAGCTCTCTGATCCCTTTCTCCCAAGTTCAACCAAGGGCCATAAAGATTGAGAAGACCTGAGGGAAGATGGCTTCAGCTGGGCTGGAACTCCTGGGCCTGACTCTAGTGGTGTTAGGCTGGCTGGGGACTCTAGTATCCTGTGCCCTGCCCCTGTGGAAAGTCACAGCCTTCATTGGCAACAGCATCGTGGTGGCCCAGGTGGTGTGGGAAGGCCTGTGGATGTCCTGTGTGGTCCAGAGCACCGGCCAGATGCAATGCAAGGTGTATGACTCCCTGCTGGCCCTGCCCCAGGACCTACAGGCAGCTCGGGCCCTCTCTGTCATTGCTCTGATGCTTGCTTTGCTGGGTCTGCTGGTAGCTATCACTGGAGCCCAGTGTACCACATGTGTGGAAGACGAGGTGGCCAAGGCAAGGATTGTGCTGACCTCGGGGATCATCTTCCTCATCTCGGGGATCTTGGTCCTGATCCCTGTGTGCTGGACAGCCCATGCCATCATCCAGGATTTCTACAACCCCCTGGTGGCTGAAGCTCTGAAGAGGGAGTTGGGGGCTTCACTTTACCTGGGCTGGGCAGCTGCTGCCCTATTGATGCTAGGGGGAGGACTGTTGTGCTGCACCTGTCCCCCACCTCAGCTTGACCGGCCTAGGGGACCCCAGCTGGGATACTCTGCTGCCTCCCGATCAGGGGCCTCCGGTCTGGATAAACGGGATTATGTGTGAGACAGGCTGAAGAACCAGCAGTCCCAACTCCAGACCTAACTAGGACTCTGAAAGTCGCTCAAGGGCATCCGATCCCGTTCATTGGCCAGAAGTAATCCTGGCTCCAGTACTGGACTTGGCTTACCCCAACTTTAGCTTCTAAACCCTAAGCCAGTCGACTGTTTCAAACTTTTCCCCATGTTTTATTAACCCTAAAGGAAATCTTATGTCTTTATATACCCTATTTGTAACTACGTCCTAACCTGGATAGAAACCCCTGCTTCATTGTATCCTACTGATTTCTCATCTGCATAAAAAAAAAAAAAAAAAAAAACAAAACCCAACCCTATCTCAAAAGTTTAAGTGAGATCTAACTGGGAATGGGCCCTAACAAGAACCTCTTTGTTTCATCAGTCCATCAAGCTCAGATCTACCCTTCACCTCCAAAACTGTTTTCCCTTCCAGAATACAAATTAAAACAGCCATCAAAATGTCCCTAAGCCCCTGCCTCCTCCAAACCCCACAAGACATTCTAAAGTCCAAACCCCATAAATTGACACCAAACTTGGTTTCAATCTCCCCTTTGTGATCCTTTAGACCTTTACCAGAGCTTTGTGATTTCAGAGCAGAGTGCTCTTACATGATCTCACCAAACCTCATGAGACTGTGAGGGCAAGTATTACTTTCCTTGTTTCATAGAGAAAACAACCGCAGAGAGGTTAAGTGACTTACCTGATGTGCCCTAGGCCCCAGGGGAAGAGCTGGGATTTCCGAGTCTTCTGCCTTCTCTAGGTCAATCAATAGTATATTCCTATTCCCATCTCCTGAGTCAGGTTCTGACAGTGGATCCAGCACTTCTAGCCACAGTCCCCATGGAAAATGCAAAAAAACACCTGGCCTCTCCTTAGAACAAAGTCTTAGATATCTCAAGTACATCTAGCCCTGGTTCCCACTTCTGCCCAGGCTGTACTCCCAGATCCACCACCAGCTTTTAGGCAAAGGCTGTACCTTGCCCAAAGACTTCAGTCTCCCCTCCATGACTAGGAGCCCAGCTAGCTGGTCACTTAGTTGTCTGGACCCAGTAGCATCAGCTTCCAACTCTACCTACAAACAGGAATAAAGGAAGTGCTTTGTAACTGGCCTCCATCTGGTTTATATGTTGGGTTTTGGTGGGAGGGTAGGGGACAAAACATACTGTTTGCACAGGGAGACCTGGTACCCCAGCCCCAGAATACTACCCAAGGGTAATCTTTTATTTCTAATGTCAGGAGACTGGCCTTTACCTGCATACCTGTGGAGTTTTTTTCAATCCTCTCCTCCCACCATCTCAGGCCTCCATGCTCCTTTTAGCCACCCCAAATTCAAGCAGTCTCCCACAAATAGAGACCACCACCATTTAGCAAGGAACATTTTATTCTCAAAAATCTCAAACCATGGAAACTCCACAAAAAGACTGGGGGGGAAGGCAGCAGCATGATGAGAAGGTGGGGGAAATATTTGCTAGATTCTGGATTAGGAGGAATATGTTGAAAGCTGGATACCAGAGCCAGCACGGAGATCACTTCCTGCCTTCTGGGAGTCCAGGAGAATCATAATTGTTATCACAGTTCCCATGGAGACCAAGAAAGGCTAGTGGAATCTTGGTGGTCCTGTTTTCCTGGGAGTTGGGAATGGCAAGGACAGAGCACACTGGAGAACTTTGCACTTGATAGGTTTAGAGTTCAGTCCCACAACCAAAGAGGGTTCTAGCATTTCCAGAGAAATAGCATAGATCTTTATGGTATCCAGGAAAAGATGCTGGAGCTCTTAGGCAGCATCTCTGTAGCTCCTTATCCAAGGATGTTTGGAAGACTTTGCATCAGTAGCAGCAGTAAAGACCAGGAAGGGATGTGGAGTCATGTTCTTGGCTTGGTCATCCAAGGGGTTTAAAAAAAAGAAAGAAAACAAAACTCTCAAGACCGACAGGGATCACCTGTAACTTCATCTTGACAGGGAAAATGGGGAAGGAGGACTTCCCTTATCTTAGGGAGTCATTTGGTGCTTTTCGCCCCTTTCCCGATTCACACATAATTCTTGGTTGGGTATTCAGAAGGACCTCTGGAGCCCGCTGGAGGAGCAGAAGCAGAGTACCGGGCCACATAATGGCTTGTGCCTCTTGAGTTGCCTGAGGGGCAAGTGCAGCACAGTAGCGACCCACCTAGTATAAAAAGGCTTGCAGCTGCCCAGCCCACATACAGGCTGTGCCCCAACTCCCGTTTCTGAGCGTCAGCCACCAGGGGGTTGTAGAAATTCCTGATGATCACATGGGCAGTCCAGCACACAGGGATCAGGACCAGGACTGCAGTGATGAGGAAAATGACCCCTGAAGTCAGTACAAGCCGAGCTTTTGGTTCCTCGTCTTCGACACATGTGGTACACTTAGCCCCAGCAAGGTAGATCAGCAGGCCCACCAGGGCCAGAAGCAGAGCTACAACCATGAGGGCTCTAGATGCTTGGACGTCATGAGACAGGGCCAACATGGAATCATGCACCTTGCACTGCATCTGGCCAGTGCTCTGGACCACACAATTCATCCAGAGGCCTTCCCATACCACCTGGGCCACTACGATGTTATTGCCAATGAAGGCTGTGACTTTCCACATGGGCATGGCACAGGACACTATGCCCGATATCCAGCCCAGTAAGGAAAGGATGATGCCCAGGAGCTGCAGGCCAGCAGAAGCCATGAATGGAGGCTTAGAGAAGACCTGCAAGAGGGAAGAGAGAAACATATTTTGGATTGGTAGCTTTATCCTCTTTGTCCTAATTCTGAACCAGTCCTAAACAGCTCACTATTTAGGCTAACCTACCTCACCTAGTCAGTGGCTTCAAACTCCTTCATTAAACAAGGAGTCTTTAATAGGTAATCCCATCTATTGGATATGGCCTCCTATTGTACGTGTAATAGCAGAAAGCTGTAAGAATATGGTAGAAAGAGCATAGGATTGGATGTTAGGATGCTTGGATTTTAGTCCTCAACCTACCATGAATTAACTAGCTGTGTGACCTTAGGCAAATAACCTCTTTAAACCTCTGATTCCTCCTTAAGTGGGTTGGAAGATCCCCAAAGGGTACCTCTTCCAGACATTTGGAAACTGGGAAATCAATAAACTAGAAACTTAAGGCAAGGATAACAGAGAATTAGTTGCAGCTTTCAAAGTCTGAAGCTTAGAACCTTGGAAATTAAGCATGAAGACTGAAGGATAACCAAGGCAGGTCCATCCCTGAATTTTTCTAACAATTTAGCCTTAGCACATCAATGAATTTTCCTCTTTGATAAATCCCTCACTTCAGCCTCAAGCCTCTCACCTCAAATTTTTGACTCCCAACAATGAATATATCTAATCCTCATTTCCATTGTAGAGTCCCAAGACTGTGCTCATTACATTTCCCTAGTCGTGGAAAGAGCCAGTGAAATCTGAGTTCTAGTTCCTACCCTTGGGCTAGTCACTTCTCTCTGGGCCTCAGTTTCCTCCTCTGAAGAATGAGGGGATTAAATGCCCAAGATCTCTTCTTATTTTGAAGTTCTATGCTCAAATTTTACTTCAGTTGTACCTCCCTTACTCTCAGATTTGGTTACTACTATTCCCTTCCCTCAAAAGAGACTCATAATCTGCCTTCCACATCCAACAATAAGTGTTGCACCAAGATTTTTGTGTGCCTAAACAGATCTAGGCTAGATAGGGATGGCCAGTGGAGAAGGAAAACTCAAATTCCACCTATTGTCCTCTATAGCCCTTCCCAAAATAGATTCTCACAGTTGGAAAGGACCTCAGAGGTCATCTTGTTCAACCTCCCACCCCATGCTGGAATCCCCTTCACAATTGTCCTGACAGTCAGCCAGCTTCTTTGTGGGTATCTCCAGTATTGCTAAATCACAAGGCTGATTGATTCACTCTGCTACTGTTCCCGAGACTCTTCCTGGATCTAAGTGTTTGAGATTTATTTGCCTCATTCTAATTTTTACCCATCTGTCTTAATTCGACCTACCAGAGCCACAGATTATGATACATATTGAGCTCCAAGCTCAGGTAATTTTCCACATGAACTACAATCTGGTCCAGTTTCCCCCATACTGTATAGTTGTTGTTTTTTAAGTGCAGGACTTAAACATTATCCTTGTAAATATTCATCATTTTAGTTTTGAAGCTTGGCTGTACGGGGCATTTCTCTTCCTTCCCAGTTCATTCACCATTGATCCTCAGCATTTTCAGTCCCTCTTATACAGACAGCACTGACTTTTTACTTTGAGCTAGGTTTAGAACTGGTACCAAAACAACATACTCAGACTCTCCCACTTCACTCACCCCAGGGCAGGACTTGGACACTCCCAGGTCGGCAGCTTAATTGACTTTATCTACTAAGAAAGACCTCCCTCAAAGCCCCCCTCCCCCCATCAAGTTTCCCCTTTCACACACAAGTGCCTCCTCCCCCACCCCAATCCTATACAAGTTTCGGATCAAATCACTTCTCAATAACTTCAAAGGCTCCCTACAGCCTCCAGGATAAAGCTCAAATGCCTTAGTCTTAGATTCCCATATTCAAGGGCCACCACATCAACTCCAGCCCCTCCCCGACCAGTCCTATTCCTTCATCCAAGTCCCTACTATGTGCCAAATCTCCGGTACTAGGCAAGGGACACACAGAGATTAAATACTTGGTTTCTGCCCTCCAGGGAATTTTAAATCTGCTCTACTTCCACAAGGTTCCCAGGGGCAGGAATGTGTCACTCCCCTCCCCCAATTCTACCTGCAGAGGCATTGTAATATGGCAGTAGGAAAAAAAACATGGATTTGGGGTCAAATGATCAACAAGTTCCTTAGACATTTTCTCTCTCTGACCTCTTCAGTTTCTTGCAAAATAAGTGGGCAGTGGGCTAGCTGAACTCTAAGATCCCTTCCAGCTTGAAATTTCAGGATATTAAGTCCCTTTCAGGCAACTTCAGGTACTAACTCCCCCACCATGAAGCCCTCTTTGATTCCCAAAAGTGAGCCTTCCCTTTACTCCTGAAACTTTAGCACTTCGTGTTACCTTGTACCACAATGATTTGGGTCTTTTTATCTGGTCTCTTCCTTCTCCAACCCTTCTTGCCAAATATCTGATAATATTTCCTTCTTAAAAAATCTTCAGTGGCTCCGCATTGCTTCTAACATTGCCAGACAAAAAAGTCTGGCATTAAGTCTATTTCCCCACTAGACACTTTGGCACTGACTGGCGTGCTCCCATGCCTGGAATGCACTTTCTTCCAACTCTCAGAATCCTTAAGTTTCTTTCAAGAATAGGAGACTGCTGTGGTGGGGGGACTCTTAGAGGAAACCTTTTTCTGATCCTTCTTAATTATTAGTTCTCCTCCTCAAATTATCTAGGCTTTACTTAGGAAATAGTTGAATTCCCTATAGAGAATATTCAGACCTTAAGAGCAGGGATTCAAATTATGAGAAAAGAACAGAAACAATTCAAAGCTTAGATGAAATTACAGATTATTCCCCTTTTCATGTATCCCCAGCATCTACTGTAGTCCTTACACGTGGTAGGAATTGTAACATTTATTGAATATTGTGGAATTGAAACTCTTCTCTTTTTCCTCCCAACTTCCCCAACCTGGAGTTACAGCCCTTTGTATATAACTCACATTTATATATCGACTTAATTAATCCAAGGTGGGTAGCAAATCTTCCTCAATTTTATAAAGAAGGAAACCCATCAGAGCTAGAATTTGAATCTAGGTTCTCTTGATTCCAGGACCAGGGCTCTTTCCACTATACACTAATTGAAAATGAAATGATTCAGCCCCACAGCTAGGGCTGTGTTTCTCCTGTGGAGTTCCTAGGTTCTTTCAAAGCTCAACTCAAATATTAAAAGTATTTTTGGTGATTCTCCCAGCTGCTAGTGCCTCTCTAAAGTTACCTGGTATCTACTGTATATGTGTATAGTCTCTCTGATAGAACTAAAAAGCTCCCAGAGGGCCTCAGTTTCTTCATCTGTAAAATGAGGCAATTGTACTAGGTCATCACCAGTTTTTCAACAAATATTAATTCCAGGACACTAAGGTCCCCCTCTATACTTATTCCTAGTTTGGCCCTGGTCTTGGGGTAGCCCCTGGAGACCTGAGCCTCATTTCTAGGAAATTCTTCCCATCCCCCAACAGAAGGGATTAACCCGGGGTGCAGTCATCAGGTGGTTTTACGCGGTCAGGTGTGGGAAGGGGAGCTCATGGATCCTCCCACTCTACAGGGGTCGGAAGGGGCGGGCCCCAGGCTAGAGGACAAGGATCTTCTCCAGCGGGAAGAGTGGCCCTCTCCAAAGTGTAGAGGGTGTGGGTTGGGGGGGGGGGGGGGGGGGGAGAGGGGTTTAGGCCTTTTGTCGAGAGCGAGAGCGAGAGCGAGAGCGAGAGAGAGAGAGAGAGAGAGAAGAGGAAGGTTGATTTTTCTGGAAATTTAGAGAAAAGATAAACACCTCCACTCCCATTCTAGGAACCACAAGGTACCGGGAAAGTCCGGTCTTGCTTCTGTCCCTTCGGGACCCGGGAATCCGAACTGTCCAGCTCTACTTCAATGGACGGAGGACTAATGTCCTCCTGCCCTAAAGACTGTATTGACTTCACTAGGACCCAACTCCAAACATCTGATTCTTCCAACCTAGGACCAAGTCTTGGACTCTAGACCTGCAGGCTACTCCATTGGACCCAAATAAAGTGGCTGCTCTAATGCTGAACCCTCGGTGTCCAGCTCTTAGCCTTGGCGGGAGGTGCAACCTCCTTTCTGGTGGGAAGAGGGCCAGCGTCCCAAACTCACCTGCCTAGGAAGAAACGGGTGCAGCCAGAGATCAGGATAGAGTATGGGGAAAGGGGGCGGAGGCGGGGGTCTTAAAGAGGCCGCCAATGCCCCCGTGACGTCACTGGCGACCCGCCTTCCCCAGGGAGGGGCAGAGACCCCTGCCCAGTACTCAAGCATCTGGGCTTCCTGAGAGATCCTGGAGATGGCAAACTAGAACTTTTCCCTTCTCTGAATGAGGAACCGCTTAGCTTCAGGCTATGAACAGAAGGCTGGAAAAAGATGCAGCCGGTAATTGGATGAACCAGGATGCCTGGGTTCTGGGAGACGAAGGGGAGTCGAAACTTTGAGGGAAGGGGCACCAAACAACTAGAAAGGCTGAGCTGCAGGGATAAGAGTCTGAGAAGAGACTCCGGAATGACACTGAGCACCCAAGACACCTGGGTTCATTTCGGGGGTCGAGAGCTGGAGCACCGTGGACGGGCAGTTGGGGGACTGGTCGCCACCACTGGAGGCGGGGTCCGGACTGGGACCGCCCCGGATAGGGTGGGCGGCGGGCGTGCCTCCCTGAATCCGCGTCCCGGCTCAGAACGGGACCGGCCTCTGGAGGTACACCATGGCTCTCGGACCGCTACTGGTACTACTGGCGCTGACTGTGCTGAGATTGACTTGGGGGGAGCCAGCCTCAGGTAATGGGGTTGCCTGGCCAGGGAACACTGACGCCTGTCCGGGAAGTGTCCATGGGTGGAAGAGTACCCCAGGCAGTCCGCTGTGGGTGAAGGGGAAAAGTCAGGGTGGAAGAGGATGACTTTGGGGCACGCCTCTCCCAGCGCACTTCCGAAGCTGGGGTGCTGGAGGCGAAAGGAGACCCCTGGACTCTGCCCTACTTGGCTGATCGTGGGATGGAGGGGGGCACTCCACGTGGGCATCTCAGACCCGGACCGGTGAACACCCCGCCTCACAATGACTTCACGCCCCAGTAATGTGAGGAGGAGGGGTGGAGGGGGGGGGTTGTCGGCCCAGCTCCCGGGACTGAGTCACAGGCTGCTGGAAGGAGGGTGGGGGGAAGAGTTGGACATCTCCTTTAACACCGCCGCCTCCCCCTCCTCCAATCTCCTTTCCCTGTCCTGTGCTCTCCACCTCTATGGTGTCTCCGCAGAAGCCATTCCACCGAGCTTTAAGAACCCAGGCATCCTACTTTCTTAGCCCTTCCAAATCTAGCTCTTTCAGAACCCGAGAGTCCTGCCCCCTAGGCCTGCGGTCACCTGTCTGGAATGTCGGGGGGGGGGCGCTTGGGGGCTCTGATGTCTGGCTTGTCTGACTCACCAGAAACTAGAGCTCTAGTCCTGACCTCAACCCCCGGAATAGCCCTGACCTCTCTCTCCTTACCCCCCCCCCCAAACCATCCTGGGGAAGACAGCGTAGGAGGTTACTTCCCTCAATTTTCTCCCCTTCTTTTTCTTCCCAGCACCCTCCCCCTGTCCTCAGGGCAGTTCTTGGAGCCCAGACCTGGACAAGTGCATGGACTGTTCCTCCTGTCCAGCTCGACCCTACAGTGACTTTTGTCCTGGCTGTGAGTGAAAAGGGGCTGGAGGGAGACTAGGGATTTTTTTGGGGGGAGGGGAGCAGGACAAGGTTTGAGAGAAAGGTAATAACATTTAGGATGTGTAGACTAGATTTTTGAGGGAAGTAGGCTAGGGAGCTAGGGCAGCTTTTTTTGGGGGGGGTGAGGTGGGTATTTTGGAAGCTAGTAGCAGAATTGTGGGTTTGGGATCTTCAGTGACTTTCTTCTTCCTCTCCTCCAGGCATCACAGCACCTCCACCCCCTTTTCCTCTGCTGTGGCCAGTCTTGGGGGGTACACTAGGACTGATGCTCATTTTAGGGCTCCTTTCTGGCCTTCTGGTCTGGAGACAGTGCCGACGGAAAGAGAAGTTCACCAGTGAGTATATAATCTCCCTTGTCCCCTTTAGCTTTATGTATGTTGTTACCTGAAAGGGTCCTAATATTCCCATCTACTTGGCTTATAGCCCCCATTGAAGAGACAGGAGGAGAAGGATGTCCAGGCATAGCTTTGATCCAGTAATGGTGAGCCCCTTTATCTCTGCTAGCCTTAGCATTGACCCAAAGTCCAGCACACTTACCTCTACCCTAGACTAATCATGGTACTCTAGACTAACATTGCCACATAAAGCCCATTTCACTTCCTGGGCCTTAGATGGGGGGAGAGGAGAAAATGAGAACAGGACCTTTCTCTACGATGATTTGTGCTCTTTTTTTTTTTTTTAATCCTCATTCATTCACTTGGCCACTACTGAGCACCTACAGGGCAATTTCTAATTCACTTGGGGGTAGGGGTGGAAGGGGAAGGATAAGGTATGTTTGCACAGAAATGTCCCGGCCCTCAAAGAGTTTATAATCTTACTCTCTTTCTGACAGATTTGGCCTGTTCCCAACTTTGCCTAGTATTGAGGGGATCTCACCTTCTTGGCGTTCCTGTTTTCCAATGAGATTTCCCCCTCACACACACATTCTTCTCAGACTCTACATTTCTTTTCATATACCCAGAAGAGAAGTAGGGACTCAGACCTGGGGTCTTACCCTAGGACTGATCACTGGCTGAAGAATGCAACATTTGCACAATTGGGGGATGGGGGGGTGTTTCCCCTCCCCCAACAATCACACTGCCACCTCCCTCCTCTGGCAGCACTAGGGGCACTGAGCCAAGAAAACACCTCTTCAGTATAAGAGGACAGATCTAACACTCAGGACCTTGGTTTCCAGTCCTCTCAAATGTGCTGAGACAAGGCAACTGTATCTTGTTGGAGGGCAGGGTACAGTGCTCTATCCCCCTAGAGTAGGGGCTGGTCCTCTAGGGGAGCTGGCCCTGGGTTCTTCCCCCTTTGGCCAGCCCACAAGGTAGGGGAGATATTTATTTGGGGGAGCAAGGAGGGAGGGGGGAAGGGAGGGAATAGAACATGTATAAATAAAAGTTATTTTGATTTCAAGTTTGATTCTTAACTTCATTTGAGTGGAGAGGCAAGACTCCCATCCCCACCTTGGTACATGGGTCTAAACTCAGTCTCCCTCTGAGAGCTGGGCATCTCCACCCCCCTTTTTGGCCTGGTCCCCAACTGTTTCTTTTGCTGGAGCAGGGAAGAGTTTGTGTGAGTCAGCCGGGGGTGGGGGCGGGGCCCTGACTCACACATTCTCAATGTCTGGGCGGGTCTAGCCCTGACTCGCTTTCCAGGGAAGACTGAAAGGAACCCTGGCATCTGTCCCCTCAGGCCCCAACTCCCCAGACAGCTCCCCCTTTCCAATAAAACTACTTGCTTTTTATTGCCCACCAGTTTTTATTTTGCTTTCACAATGACCCCCTGTTATCGGAGCCATCCCAGCCCCTAAGATGTTCCTTACCCTCTGTTTCTCACAGTGAACAGTCTGGTTCTATTTCCTCCACCGTCTCCTGAATGTGTGTATGGAAGTGTGTGTAACAGACCTATCTCAAACCTGAGGGTGCTCTTCTCTATTTTTGTGTACAATATATGGGTGTCTAGACCCTCTTTGATGTTTGAGTTTGTGGTTTCCAGAGAAGGCCAGGTTCTGCCCATTTCCAATTCACGGAATTGAGGTTGGGGGCTAGGAGAGGCTTGAGTTCCTGAGGAACAAGGACAGTTGCTTGAGGTTCAGAGTTCCATTGCCTCCCCACTATGGGGGTTTTGGTATACCTGGGAGCCCCCCAGTCTCAGCAGCCGAAGGGTTTCTGGAATTTTATTTCCTGGATATTGCCAGAGGAGTAGCTCTGAGTGAGGATTCCTAGAAACAAAAATTGCAGTCAGGGGAACTCAGTCCTGTTATAAGTCTTGGTACTTTCCCTCTTCCCCTTCTCCAACACTTACAGGGCCAGCAGGAGGCTGGGGCAGAGGACCCCAAGATCCTCAATTGAATGAAGAGAGTCTTCCAAAGGCCTGGAGGGAAGGGAAAGAGATAAGACAAGACCATGTTCAAAGTTAGCAGCTAAATGTAACAGTGACACAGAAGAGGTATAATTGTTCCTAGGGGGTAGCTGGAGCTAAGGCAGCTCTTGATTTGGGGTAGAAGCCCAGAAATTTCAGTGATGAAACTAAGAGCCCAAATCTAGTAGAGAAGGTTTAATAATTCAAAGATTGAGCATCTACTGTGTGAATGGCCTTGTGCTAGAAACAGGGGATACAAAACTGAATGATTCCCTTATTCTAGTAGGGTAAATAAGACAGACACAACTAAGGGGAAAATTTGATAAGTGTTTAATTGTGAGGAGGCAGAAGATCATTTCTGGCTGGGGAGACCAGGGTTCACAGAAGAAATGATATTTGTACTGGATCTAGAATGATGGGTAGAGCCTGAACAAAGACAAAAACCAAATGTGGGGAGTGCAGAATTTTGTCTTGAGAAGAATGAGGAGTAACATGAAATAAGACTGGAAAGATGAGAAGGCACTAGAAAGCTTTGCTCAAGTAAGAAGTGTGAACTTTTATTTGGTGGTAATGGGAAGTCACTGAATGTTTGTATTGTTTTTTGGGGTTTTTTTTGTGAGGCAATTTGGGTTAAGTGACTTGCCCAGAGTCACACAGCTAGTGAGTCTTATATGTCTGAGGCTGGATTTGAACTCGGGTCCTCCTGACTCCAGGGCCTGTGTTCTATCTACTGCGCCCCCTAGCGCCCCCCCCCCCCACTGAATGTTTTGAGCTGCATAATGTCATTACCTGGTCACAGGTGGGGCTGGAATGCCCATGGAGAAAGCTACTGATGGGCCACAGTAGGGGTGGTCATTTTCCAGACTGAGGTGGGAAAAATGGGAAACCATGTTCTCCTCAGACGGGAAATGCTTCAGAAGAGAGTTCCTGGAAAAAGAGGCCAGGGAAATGGACTGGGAGAGAAGGCTTTTGGGAAGGATCACAGATTAAGAGCTAGAAGGCCCTGCAGGTATCATCTAGTTAATTTTGCAAAGTAGGATGCTTGAGTCCTAAAGAGGTTAAATGACTAAGTGTTCTTTTACTCCAAATCTAGCACCTTTCATGGTACCATACTGTCTCTTAGGCCTGGGGTGGGGGGTTGGGGGAGTAGGAGAGTACTAAGAGCCAGGACCAGGGTTGGAGAACCTAGGGAAGAGAACTCTGGGGCCTAGGGGAGAGGGTATTGGTTCCTAAGGATGGGAGTTCTGGTGAATGGGGAGAGGGTAGGGGGAACCATTTCCCTTCCCCTAAACTCACTGATCCTCCTCCAGCAATTGACTGGTGTTCTGGGGCTGAATTCCTTGGGGAAAAGAGCTGTGGAAGAGACAAAGTTAAAGCCTAAACTCTTTTTTCTCCTTCCCTGAAACCAAAATATTAGGGTTCCTGGGTCCAAGACCTTTGCCCTTTAATACAGACATCTAGGTTTTAGGTCTGGCTCTCTAATCCAGGTCATACCCCATCCCCCTCTCCTTCATTAGCTCTGTATCACATCCCTCTTCCCGAGACCTGTACCACATAATCCAGATACCTTGGCTCTTGTCCTCCAACCCTATGCCCTATAACCCCAGGCATAGTAATCACACAAGCATATCCTGTATTCTGTATCACAGGGATGTTGATGACCCATCCTCAGCTCTGCACCATCTAACGTTGGGAGTTAAACCCCGTCAGTCTCAGTTCTGTATCATATATATGTGTGTGCTCACATGTCCACAAAAGCCAGGTAGCCTACTCCCTATTCCAATATATAATCTAGGCATACAGGTTTTTCATCCCCAAATTTTACCATATAAGTAAGGACTCTAGTTCTGAGTTTTCCAATATGGAGGTGTCAAACCTGAGCACAGCCTGAACCAGGTTAAAATGCAATTGGGAAATACTTAACAAAATAAAAATACAATAAAACATAGATAATAATATTACATTTGAAAACTGCTAAGTAGCACCCTATTTGAGCCAGACATCCAAGGTACCAATCCTCAGTTTTGTAGATTAATTATATTATACCGGAATCCTGACACCCAGTTTCTACTTCGGTGCCCCGTAGTACGCAGTTCTAGCAATAGGGGCCGGGCTCTCAGTGCTCACCTGGGCACCCCAGAACCAGGATTACATTATCTCCTGTATACTGGCCTCCAGTGCCCAGCTCTCTGTCCTGTACCCTGCGATCCTGGCCGGTTTATAACTCTGGCATCTTGGCTCCTGGTCATCACCAGCTGTACGGCCAGGAAGTCAAGCATTCTCGACCACTGCAGCGCCCACCCTGGTCGCCAATCTCCTGCTGAGTTGTGCACACTGCAGGCAGCCCTGGCCCCCCATTTACAGCTCTGTGCCCCGTAACCCTAGCTTCTAGGCCCCTGCTCCCCGCCTCTGCACCCCATAACCCAGGCATCCGGGGTATCCGGGGTCCCGCCTGCCCCCAGGGCCACACACCAGGCATCCAGGGTCCTGTCTGGCCCCGGTGCTTCCCTGGGGTCTTTCTGGGCCCCCGTTGGGCGGCCCAGCTCCATGGGCGGCTGGAGGATCATGGAGTTCCGGGGACCTGCGGGTAAGAGAGGCTCGGATCTCGCTGCCCCGGAACGGGGGCATAGGGAGCCTCCAGACTCCCACGACTCGGCCACTAGCGGCCGTGTCTGCAGCTCCGTGGGGCGGGGACACTGAGCAGAGGAAGGCGGGCCCCACAGGATACCGGTGGGGAGGCGGTCGCTACTACGCAAGCGCGTAGTGCCGCCGGACCCAGGCGCGCGCGGAGCGGAGACTTCGCGCAGGCGCGGGGAGCGACGTGCGTCGGAACGGTGGGTCCGAGCCCCGCCGGCGAGAGGGGCTGGTCGTGCGCGCGCACCGCGAGGAGTTGGGGTTGGGGCGTTGCGGGGCTTGCTGCGGGCCTTGGGAGCACTCACCACAGCAGGCCGGGCGCTCGTGAGGTCTCACGGAAGCTGGGGGCTCCATCCACGCCCGTCGTGGGGGGAGGGGAGGTGTGAGGGCGGGGCTCTGCCGCGCGCCTTTGGGTCTACGTCACTCGTCGGCGTCCATGGCCCTTCCTTCTGGGAGCTGTAGTCCCATCCCGAGGGGTGGGGCGCCAGTCTCGCCATACGTCATCCCGTGGGAGGGGTCTCGCCGGCATGGTGGGGTGCGGGCCGGCGTCCAAGCCGAGGAAACAGGCCAAACAAAAATGGCAGCCAGAGGGAAAGAGATTAGATGTCAGGAAAAGCCTCCTGATACGGAGGGATATGAGTTGTGGTGTAAATCAAAAATCTGCCTCCCCCAGAACGCCGCTTCCTGCGTTCCGCACTGCTCCCCTGGGGGAGGGCGGTGATGGGGGTAGGGGGGCCGCAGGCCCAGAGGACACTGGGCAGGGGTCACCCGGGGGGCAGCAGTTGGTCTGGCTCCAGGCGTAGGGTCGAGAAAGGGCCCTGCCCTCCGGGTGCCGGTTCTGGGATGTCGGGGGGGGGGGGGGAGCTGTGGGTGACGCCAGTGTCTGCTCCTCCCCAGATGGAGGTCCAGCGGGCCTTGGAGCGGCTGCACATGACCATTTTCTCCCAGAGTGTTTCCCCCTGTGGCAAGTTCTTAGCAGCAGGGAACAACTACGGGCAGATTGCCATCTTCAGGTATAGGAAGGCAGGCAGCCAAGGCCCCTCACTCTGAAATCCCTTCCCAGAATAAAGTGGGGTGGCCCATCCTGATAGCTCCCGAGTCTCTGACTTAACCAACCGACCATCACTCAGGGGGTTCCTTTTCATTCCAGAACCTTGATATTCTTTCCCCACTTCTCAGCTCCACTAAATAATTTCTCTCCCCCTTCAGTTTATCAGCTGCTTTGAGCTCAGAGGCCAAAGAGGAAAGTAAGAAGCCAGTGGTGACCTTTGTAGGTGGGTGAGGTCATCAGACAATTTGGATTTGGGAATAGGAGTTAGGGTAATGTAGGGAAGTCGGGGGAGGGGCAGAGTACAGGAATCAGAAGCAGGGGAACCCTATACTTGGTATGCATTCATCTGAATTCACAATTTTTCCTTTAGCCCATGATGGCCCTGTATACAGCCTGGTCTCGACAGACAGACATCTGCTCAGTGCAGGGGATGGTGAAGTGAAAGCCTGGCTTTGGGGAGAGATCCTAAAGAAGGTAAGGATGGGGACTGTATATGCTGAAAGGAATACTTCTTGGGAAGGCTGAGGAGCAAAATGCTTTGTGCCAGAAAGGGAGTCTCTGGATCCTTTTTGTGCTCTCTCTTCCCTAAAGGGCTGTAAGGAAGTATGGAGCCGTCATCCCCCATACAGGTGAGCAGGCTTGTTGGGTTGGGGCCCTGCTAGTATTGTTTCCTCCTCTCAGGCTGACCCCATTTGCCCTTCTAAACAGGAGCAGCCTGGAAGTTCCTGAAATCAATGCTTTGCTGCTTAACCCTAAGGTATGATTCTCCTTTAGCCAGCTTTCAATCTAACCCAGTCTGTGGGTTTCTGATGCCTGTGTCCTTCTATCCAAACCCTGCTCCTGACTTGATCTCAATCCCTTCCATCTCCCTGTACTCTCTGACTTCTTCCTTGCTTTCATTCTCCCACAGGAGAATTCCCTCCTCTTGGCAGGGGGTGACTGCCATCTTCATTCTATGGATCTGGAGACAGGGACATTCACGGTAAGTTGGAGCTAGGGTGCCTGGTCAGGTATGGAGAAGGAACAAAGTTGTAAACATGGCAAATGGGTGGATAATTTCTGTATATCTGCCTGGGCAAATTCCTAGGAAACCAAGTCCATGCTGTTGTAATGCAGTTCTGTCTTATCTTTTTATCACTTCTCCCTTCTACACTGTCCCCCATATTTGTCAGACATTTTGACACATATACCCTTGCCTTCTAAGGGGTTCCTGGTCTCCGAGGTGGAAGGAGATAGCTTTCAGGGGTCCTAGCTGACTAGTCTTTACTATCTTCCTCTAGCGTGCACTTCGAGGTCACACTGATTACATTCATTGTTTGGCCCTTCGAGAAAGAAGTCCTGAAGTGCTGTCTGGGAGTGAGGATGGCACAGTGCGGCTTTGGGGTAAGGGAACAGTTGTCTGGAGGGTTGTGACTACAGATAGAAAAATTTGGCAGGGAGGGCTATGGAGCAGGAGAGAGCTGGGGTGAAGAGAAGCAAGAAGTGTAAAAAAGTAATAAGACATATCCTGAGGTTCTCACTGTGTCTCTTCTCAGATCTTCGTACAGGTGAAGAGGTTCAGACCATTGAAGTTTACAGGCATGAGGTGAGGCTTTCACTGTTCTGAATACCTCCTCTTCTCTCCCTCCTCCTCCCCCCCTTTCTTAGGCAGGTGGGTTAGCTAGATTAGCTAGGTGATGAACTAGATGGAATGCTGGAGTCAGGAAGATCTGAGTTCAGATCTGCCCTCTGACACTTAACTAGCTGTATAACCCTGGGCAAGTCACTTAACCTTTGTTTCCCTCAGTGTCCTCAACTATGAAATGGAGGTAATAGCATCTACCTCCCAGGGTGGTTGCAAGGATCAAATGAGATAATATTTGCAAATTGCCTGGAACAGTGCCTGGTACATAGTAGGTGCTTAATAAACGCTTATTCCCTCCTCTTTCCTCTCGACCTCCCTTTCCCTTTTCTTCCTTCCCAGGAGTGTGCTCGACCCCAGAATGGAAAGTGGATTGGATGTTTAGCAACTGACTCAGATTGGATGGTGAGCAGCCAGGGGCTCTGGGAAAAAGAGTTTATGCTTTAAGTTCTCTGCAGGGTGGGAGGTGAGCAAGTGATTGATAATTAGAGATAGACAATGAGTCCCATTCTCTCCAGGTGTGTGGAGGGGGCCCTGCTCTTACTCTTTGGCACCTTCGATCTGCCACACCCACAACAGTGTTTCCACTTAGGGCCCCACAGAAGCATGTAACCTTCTACCAAGACCTGGTGAGCCTTCTTCCTTTGTTCTTTCCCAGCTGGCACTTGGTCGCCTTGCGTTCAGGCTTTTGTCTGCTAAGTTTGGGCTTCCCATCATTTCTTTTCCCCAGATCCTCTCTGCAGGTCAGGGACCGTGTGTGAACCAGTGGCAGCTGAGTGGGGAGCTGAAGGCCCAGGTCCCTGGCTCCTCTTCCAGCCTGCTTAGTCTCAGCCTCAACCAGCAGCCTGCTGCACCAGAGTGCAAGGTAAGATCCCATAGGTCTTGAAGGAGGAGGGATCTGGGAGGCCATGGGGGAACTTCAGGTTTCTAGTCCTCATTATCTACTTTCCTCTCCCCCAGGTCCTGACAGCTGCAGGAAATAGCTGTAGGGTTGATGTCTTCACTAACCTTGGATACCGAGCTTTCTCCCTATCTTTCTCCTGACCCTCCTCTCCAATCTTCCCCTCCCCACTTGTTAGGCTCTACTTTGTTAATTAAAAAAAAAAAAAGCCATTTAGTCCAGTTTGGTGAACTTTCCATCTACCCAGTTTCTCAGAAACCAAAGCCCAAGATTTCATATCAATTTATATATTACTCTGTTAGACCTTGTTACATAAATACTCTCTATGGATTCCCCCCAAGCCCTGCCTAGAGGAAGTTTATTGTGGTTTAGAAAAGATAAGCCTGTGAATATGCAAAATAGACACCTCTGTGAGCTCTTTTGGAGGGAAGAAGGTTTCGCCTCCCAAGCCCTGACTTGATTTGGAAGCTTTCTCTGCCCTCATTTCTGCTGTGCTCCAGGATTTGGAGTCTAACTACCTTTTGCCAACCCATATCCCCATATCATTGGACCCCTTTATCCTTAGTACCCTGAACCCTTTCCAGAAAAGTCACCTCCAAGTCACCATTCCCATATGTAGTCCAAGCACCCCCTCAGGTCCTTCTGAAAAGGTTGGTGAAGAAGCTACCAGCCCCTGTCCCTTTTCCCAAGGAAAATTTTGTGGCCTCTTGGTGCGGGACTGCTGGCTGGGAATTAAGCTCCTTTAGTCGCTGAGAACGAAGTTGCTGTCCAATCACTACCTGCATATCATCCTGGATGAAGAAGAGCAGAAAATGGGTCAGGTGGGGGAGAGCTATCAGCTTTACCACCACCCCTGCCCCTCAGCAGGGCTTTGCCCTTCTTACCTGCCAGGCCTCCAGTTCCTGAGACATTGCTACCTTCTGGTGGATGGTTCGGAGCAGTTCCCGAGAAAGAGAGTCCCGTTCTAAGGAGACCCGGGTCAGTTCCAGGGAAAGGGCCAAAGACCTAGGTGGGGAATAGATTGGGGAATCACTTAGAGCTCTCCCCATTTGGTTCTGGATAAAAACAATAGACAGGAAAAGGTGTAGCAGCTGTGGGAACAAAGTGAAGGTTTGGGGAACAAAATTCTACAGCCAGTTTATTGACATCTAGGACTAGAACCTAGGGTGTCTGACTTCTTTGGGGGCCTTTCTAACGCACCAAGCTGTCATGAGAATAGGGACAGATGGACTTACTTGTTCACAGCATCATCCCGGTCAGAGAATGCCTTATTCAGTGCTGACTCGGGGTCTTTGTCTTCCCTCAGTTCCTTTTGTCTCTGCAGTTCTTCTCGGAGGGACTGCAACTCTTCCACCTGCAAAGATAACTGGGGGAGAGGACATTTAGTGTTTTATAACCCATAGCTGATTCTGTGCTAAGATCTAGGTGGTTCTCATTCTGATCTTCAAAGATTATTTGGTCCTCTTACCTTATGTCCATCCGCACTTTGAGCCCTAAGCCTAATTTAGCTTACCTCGTTTTGTAGCCGTTCCATTTCCACTTCCTTCTCTTCCAGCATTTCTCTAGGACTCATGGAAGCCCGCTTCCTAGGGGGCTCCAAGCCCTCTTCTGGAGGAGACTGGGGTTCTGATGAATTGTGGAAGAGATTGGGGTTGTGGATTTCCTAAACACCGCGGAAAAAGAATAGCCCTGGGCCTAAGAAAGGCAGCTAGCTCAGCCTTTCTAGGCCCATAACCTTTTCTTTTTTTCAGGCTAGTTGATTTTTCATTAGTCTACCAGAACCTCCAGTAAGGAAGAGAAGATTAATTTTCTTTATCAGGGTAGGGCCCTTGACTAAAGTGAGATTTGAATTGTGGCCAGAAATCTTGATGGAACCACCTCTAGTAGCATGCCCCTACTCAAAGAGACAAATGATTCTAGAGAAGAAATATAAGTATTAACTGAATAGGGGCAGCTAGGTGGGCACCTAGGGCAGCTAAGTGGTTCTGTGGATAGAGTGCCAGGCCTGGAGTCAGGCAGACTCATCTTCCTGAGTTGAAATCTGACCTCAGACACTCACTAGCTGTGTGACCCAGGGCAAGTCACTTAATCCTGTTTGCCTTGTTTCCTATAAAATGAGCTGGATTAGGAAATGGCAAACCATTCCACTATCTTTGCCAAGAAAAACCCAAATGGGGTCATGAAGAGTCAGACACAACTGAAATGACTGAACAATGAATGTAGTCTGCAATTTCAGAAGGCTAGGCATAGATAAAGTGAGTACTCAGTATACCTAATTCAGTAAGAAACCAGTTTAGCAGTACTGGTTTCTGTTGAGTATTAACTGTTCCTACCTCGTGGTCTGAGGAATTGTTAGAAGGGGTAAGTCCTGGGGCAGCTAGGTGGCGCAGTGGATAGAGCACCAGCCCTGGAGTCAGGAGGACCTGAGTTCAAATGTGGCTTCAGACACATTGTGACTCTGGGTAAGTCACTTACCCCAATTGCCTCACCAAGAAAAAATAAAAAGGGATAAGTCCTGATCAGAGCTTACCTGGGGTGCCATTGGAAGTTGGGGGTCTCCTTCTTCATCTAGGCTGTGGGCAATCTCAGATTGCAGGGAAGCCCCAGAGACTTCTGAATCCTGGAGCCGGGATTCCTCTTCAAGCTCAGAGACCTGGTGTTGGAGACGTCTGAGAGACACAAGTGCTTCCCTGGCTTCCGAGCGGGCCCGTTCTAGCTGAGGACAGAGCAAAGAGACAATTCAGTCCTTCAGCAACCAAGTCTTAATTGTCTTAGCATCTTTCCCAAAATTTAGCATAGATTTTATACTTGCCTAATTGATTCACTAGCTCACTCATTCTAATAGCTCTTCCCAACCTTTTCAGACAACTGCCTCCAGCTGAGAACCTTACTGTGTGGTTCTTGCCTTAGACACTTAGTAACTGTGTAACCCTGGGCAAATCACTTAACCTCTGTTTGCCTCAGTTTCGTCATTTGTAATCTCTTCTTGTCTACTGGCAGCTTCCCTGCTGCCTACAAACAAGACTATGTCTCCTTCGTCCTCAAAAAACCCTCATTTGATCCGTCCATCCCCACTAGCTGTTGTCCAGTGTTTCTCTTCAGTTTTATGGCAAAACTCTTTTAAAAGGCTATCTACATTCAGTGCCTCTACTTTCTTTTCTTCACTCTCTTAACTCTGCAGTCTAGCTTTCAGCCTCATCTTCAACTGATCAGGGGCAGCCTAGGTGGCTCAGTGGATAGAGCACTGGCCCTGGAGTCAGGAGGACCTGAGTTCAAATCTGGCCTCAGATACATAATACTTCATAGCTGTGTGACTCTGGGCAAGTCATTTAACCCCAATGACCTCACTAAAAAAAAAAAAAAGTTACAAGTGATCAAAGTTGCTGTATCTCATGGCCCTTTTTTCAATCTACATCCTTGACCTCTGCAGCCTTCGACATTCTTGACCACTATCTTTTTGATATTCTCTGCTCTCTAGGTGACACTATTCTCCTGGTCCTCCTCCTACCTGTTTGTTCCTTCTTTGTCTCTTTTGCTGGATCTTCATACAGTTGCCTACTAACTATGGGCATTCCCCAAGGCTCTGTCCTAGGTCCTCTTTTCTTCTCCTTCTATACTATTTTGCTTGGTGATCTTGGCTTCCATGGATTCAATTATTGTCTCTACTCAGATGATTCTCAGATCTAGCTATCCATCCATCCCTAACTTGTCTCCTGAGCACCAGTCTTGCGTCTCCAACTCTATTGGATATCCCGTAGCCATACTAGACTCAAAATCATCTAAAACTGAACTCATCTTCTCTCCTTCCCGATTCTCCATGCTTCTGAACATCTCTGTTACTGCCGAGGGCACCGTCATCTTCCCAGTCAGGCAAGCTCACAATGTCGGTGTCGTCTTTCCACCTTTCTCACACCCCATATTCAATCTGTTGCCAAATCAAAACATCTCTCATATACCCACTTATGATTCTTGGATGATTGCAACAGCATGCTGATTGGTCTTCCTCAAGTCTCTTCCCTACTCCAATTCATTCTCCACTTTGGTATCAAAGTGATCTTTTTTTAATTTGTTTTTTGTTTTTTGTTGGGCAGTGGGGGTTAAGTGACTTGCCCAGGGTCACATAGCTAGTAAGTGTTATGTGTCTGAGGCCGGATTTGAACTCAGGTCCTCCTGAATCCAGCAGCTGTATCCACTACGCCACCTAGCTGCCCCCCAAAGTGATCTTTCTAAAGCTTAGGTCTGACCATGCAGGTCATGATACACCTTATCACTAATAAACTCCAGTGGCTCCTTATCACCTGCAGGATCAAATATGAATTCTCTCTTTAGCTTTTCAAACCCTTTGTAACCTGGCCCTTTCCTACATTTCCAGTATTCTTTTACCTCATTACACTTTGTGTGCTCTCTGATCTGGTGACGGTGGCCTCCTTGCTGTTCTTCACAGGACAGTCTATGCATGTTCACTGGGTGTTCTCTTTGCCTGGAATTCTTTTAGTCTTTGCCTCTCGGCTTTCCTGACTTCCTTCAGTTTAAACCCCCCATTCTACAAGAAGCCTTTCCCAAAACCCCTTAACACTAGTACCTTCCCTGGGTTATCTCTAATCCTGTATGTTTCTTGTTTGTACGTAGTTATTTACATGTTGTTTCTCCCATTAGACCATTAGCTCCTTGAGGGCAGAAAATGTTTTTGCCTTTCTTTGCAACCCCTGCAGCACTTAGCATAATGCCTGGCACATAGCAGCCTTTAATGAATCCTTGTTGACTATACATAATAGATCGTTGAATGATGAAATAAATACATCCAGCCCCTTCCCATCTTTTCCTTCTGGTTGTGCCCAGAATTGGTGATGTTAGTCCAGCAGGTGGCACCAAAAGCACTGTGGGCAAATCCCCAAAGAAAGTGAATGGTTGCAAGATCCTGGACTCGTGTTGGAGGCTGATGCTGAGATGCATTGGGATTCTGTTCTGTCTCAGATTCCTGTTTTCACCAAGACCCTCTTCCCTCGGAGGAGGGCAAGTACAAAGGAAGGAGCATGGGTTGTGAAATTAGGTTTCCTGCTCTAGTTCTTAGGCTGGGTGTCCCTTGGGAAATCTCTGGGCCTCAGTTTTCTCCTATGTAATATCCCTCAGTGACCCTATGCCTTGTCTTCTCATTGGCAATGGTAAACAACATCAGGAGCTGGCAGTGCACAGAGTGGGGATGGCATTCCACTCACCTACT